CTCACCGGAATCCGATGGTGGCTCACGGTGGCTCACGACGGCGATCGACGAAGAGGAGGTCTAAGGGTATAAGAAAATAGATTAGGTGATGGATCTGCTGGTTGGAAGGTGAGATGTCGCCAGAAAGGGCACGAAAAACGGTGAGGAAGCTGAATGGTCACGATAGTGATTTGGCGAGATGGCGATTGAACGGCGGCAATTTTGTGAGATGGAAGGTAGATTTAACCATGGGAAGGGTGGCTGGCACCTAGAGAAGCTGAATCGACACCGGAAAAGCTCAAAGGTCGCCGAAAAATGAAGATGAGTGATGGTAGGAGGCGTACGTCGTTAGCGTGCGTTGAATGGCAGTGGAGGGTAGCCGATCAGCGTTAGAAGGTGAAGGGTCGCCGGCCTGGAAGATGAAAGGTCGTCGGCCGGCAACCAAACTCTAGTGAAGAGACTAGGGTTTTTGGGTTTGGCGCGCCCCTTTTTCATGACCTTTCACCTAGAATTTATATACATTACGGCAAATATCTATTTGGTCCCTGTATATTGAAAAATGATAATCAACCCAAGTTTTATGACAATTTGACCCATTAACAGCATAAATGAGACAACATCAGCCTTAAAAAATAAATCACATCCTAATATCAACTTACACAATCTAAAATTTCAATCCAAACATGTCAAATTAGTAAGAAAAACTCAAAATATGATTTTTATACATAAATTCATAATTTCTCTTAATTGTCTCAATATAGCTTCAATTTAATTACACATAGGATCTTTTTATCAACAAAATAGAGTCACTTTCATGACTCTAACAATCATTTAAGTAGATTGGTGAGTGAAGAGGATGAATTACCATTGCGAGAGACATTCCCAGATGAGCAGTTGTTTTCTGTCAACAAGGACCTACCATGATATGCATATATTGTCAATTACTTAGTAGAGAATTACCTAATGATTTTTCTAGGGCTCAAAAGGATAAGCTTAAACATGATGCCAAGTATTATGTGTGGGATGACCCATACTTGTGGAGATTTTATGCTGATTAAGGAATAAAAAGGTGTGTACTCGAAACTAAGTTTTTATCTATTCTAATCTTCTATCATTCGTATGCTTGTGGAGGTCATTTTGGACCAAACGAAGCATCTCGTAAGATTTTAGAATGTGGATTTTATTAGCCAACCTTGTTCAAGGATGCATATGTGTTTTGTAAGTCTTGTGAAAATTGCCAATGTACAGGTAATATTTCCCATAGAAATTAAATGCCACAAACCCCTATTTTAATTATTGAGATTTTTTATGTTTGGGGCATTGATTTCATGGGACCATTCCCTTCATCTTTTGGTAATATATACATCCTTTTGGTTGTTGATTATGTCTCTATATGGGTGGAAGCTAAAACCACTAGGACTGACAATTCTAAAGTGGTTGCAAATTTTATAAAGTCCAATATCTTTGTTACGTTTGGAATCTGAAAGGCCATCATTAGTGACAAAGGCACTCACTTTTGTAATAAGATGGTGGAGACACTTTTAAGAAATACAATGATGTGCAGAAGGTTTCCATGTCTTATCACCTGCAGAGTAGTGGCCAAGCCGAGGTTTCTAATCGTGAAGTCAAATCCATTCTAGAGAAAACAGTCAAGTCAAATAGGAAAGATTGGGGTTTGAGGTTAGAAGATGCATTGTGGGCCTAACAAGAGTACAAGACCTCATTGGTATGTCGCTGTACATATTCGTATTTGGTAAGCCATGTCATCTTCCAGTGGAACTAGAGCACAAGGCTTTTTGGGTGATCAAGCAATGCAACTGGGATATGGATAAGGCTGGAGAGAAAAGGAAATTGCAATTGCAAGTGTTGGAAGAGTTAAGGAATGAAGCATATGAGAGCTCTAGGATTTATAAAGAGAAATCAAAAGCCTTCATTGACAAGAGGATTTCGAGGAAGAATTTTGTTGTTGGACAAAAAGTTCTCCTATACCATTCAAGGCTTTGTTCCCATTGGGTTGGTCCATTATTATTACTAATGTGTTCCATCATGGTGCAATAGAAATTCAGAGTTTGAGGACAGGGTAGGTATTTAAGGTGAATGGTCATAGACTCAAACCTTTCTGTGAAGGGCAGAATGTTGAGGTGGTGGACTTGGAAGACTCAATCTACTCGGATTGAGAGCCATGTCGTTAGGCTAATGACGTTAAACAAAGGTGTTGCTTGGGAGGCAACCCAAGGGGAGTATTTATTTGCTTTCTCTCTTTTATACATTTGATTAATATCTCTTTTTTGTAATTAGGAATTACATTGGGGACAATGTAAGTTTTAAGTATGGGGGAGAGACTTAGGTAGGATTTGATTTGTTTAAAAAAAAAAAAAAAATCTTTTCGTGTTCAATAAAGAGTGTGTTTTGAGTCTGCTTTAAATAATTGAGTTTTTTTTTTATGCTTTGAGCCATGTTCTTGAATACCCGATGATGCATGAGATCTTTATTGGAATTGTAAATGAGTATACTCCGTATCTTAGGATGTTCGCAATATTCTATAAATTAGAGTCAAGCACATTTTAGTCTTGAGGGTTGATTGAAATGATATGTCTTGAAAAGTTGTGTGGACTGAGTGATGAGACATGATTGAGGAGTGTATAGCGAGTTTGGAAAATTGTTTTTCTTAAGCTAGTCCTAAACTCGGGTTTAAGTAAATAGGGGGAAAAAAGGAAAAGAAAAAAATTGAAAAAAAATATTGGCTGCATTTTAGTTCTACTCCAATGTTCTAGTTACTGAGTAACTAAGGGTAGGCATGTCCACCATGTTTGCTTCTATGCGAAAAAGTGACCTAGGATAAGAGTATGCAAAGCACCTTCAGTTTGTTCTCTGTTGATTAAGTTCCAGGCTATGACTAAAGGAATAACTATTTTTATAAATAAATAAAACCGTAGTCTGCTACCCGGTTTGTAGTAGTAAAGAGATATGGTTGAGGGATGAGTTATGCATGAGTCAATTGTGTTAAGTTGTCTGGTTTGCATTGACTGAAGGAGAGTAATCATAGATAAAGATGAAGAGATTAAATGAATGTATTTGATTCTGCTTTATTCTACTATTGCTACAATTCTAAGTTAGGTATGAGTATAATTAAGGATTAAACTTGTGCATCATGATGAGGTACTTAGTGTGGCTTGAGTATAACATCTACTTAGTGTGGGTTGTTTTGCTCGAGGACGTGCAAAAACTAAGTATGGGGGAATTTGATAAGTGTTCAATAATTACTTTTTTTAATCCCTTTATATCAATCTTTGTGATATATTGTGATTAATTGAGCTGATTAATATATTTTCTGAATTGGGAAAGGAATACAGGCATGTGAATGAAAGTAGAGCTTAATGTACAGTTTTCAGACATTGGCAGATTCGACCTTTGAAGGTTCAGTGGAGACTTTGACAATCTTAGAGTTCCAGAATGAGAAAGAGGTCTTCTTGAGGTTTGAAGTAGACGTCCTGAGCTTTTTAAATTGGGCTTACACGTTTTAATCCTAGTAGATTTGGGTATTCAAAGTTTACATTGAAGTCAGAAGATCCAATCCCGTCACAGCTTAGGCACTGGTCAGTAATTGGGCTCCAACTTGAGGTTCTAGAAGTCCAATTGAGATGCTTGAAGATGCGTTGGAAAGATTATAACTAGGGCTACAACTTTTATGAACAGACCAGGCCCGAATTCAGTTTTTTTCTAACCTGAAGTCAGCTCACTATTTCCAGCCGAAAATTAGCCAGCCTATTTTGGAAAGAGTAGGACTCAAGGCCTACAATTTATGAATTTGAGTTGTAAACCTTTTGGGAGGCTGTACACATGTTTTTAGGGTTATTTGAAGGGGCTATAAATATAACATTAGGTTTTCAAGAGAAAAAAGAAACACACGCAAGGGGATTATTCAAAAACACTTGTTGTTATGAATTTATGATGTTTGGCTAAATTCTTTCAATTCAGTTCAAGGGGATTTCAATTCCTAACACATATCGATGGTATAATTGATAAAGTAATGTAATTTCTTACCTTTCTATGGATTTGATTTGTGTTATTATGTTTTAATGGAATATGATATTTGATTCGTTTAATTTACATCAAGCCTGGTAGATTGAGTGAATTGATAACGATTGCTAGAATTAGGGATTGTATTACATACTCGATATTTTCCTAATCACGTAGTAGCAATTAGTAATAGAAGATTGTGGATGAACTTTCTATTTTATTACTTGAATAACAAAACCTAAGTTTAATAATCTAAGCTTGTGAGATTATTGCTCAGATTAACCTTTTCCATTGGAACTTAAAGCAACCATTACATTATGGAGAGCTTGTTCTAGGTTGTTTAATGGTTAAAGACCGTTGAAGAGCATGTTTCATTAGTAAGAATTCACGGGAATTTCGGGTAGTAGAGCTTGTTATTGCCTAGGGTTGATACTTCCACGAAATGATAGGATTGCGTTGCAATTGAGAATATACGTTGATTGTGAGGATGAGATTGAATTGAGAACTAAAGTTGTTTTTATATTGATTTTCATTCATAATTTTGTTTTGGTAATTAATTAGTTTCCTTGATTTTACAAACACACACCACCCCCCACCCCCAGCTAGTTTATATTTTGGTTGTTTAGGTCAATTTAATTATTTATGATTTAATTTTAAACAGTTGGAATTTAGATTCAACTACTTCCCTGTGGGATAGACTCTTACTCACGCTATCTATTGGTTAATAATTAGAAATAATGTTTATTAATTTTGTAGTGTTGACGACACACTGTCACTTTTTTTCAAATAAGAATCACCAATGTCATATTTATATTTTGAAAGAGCCTTAATTAAGTAGGTGGATATTATGATTGACGATAAATTTTAGAATAAATGCAATACTTAAAACTTTTTTATTTTTATTTTCCTGTTACCAAGCAATGAATATTTTTTTCCCCTTCTCTTTGTTTCAATTGTTTAATGAATGATTATAATGTTTAAATTTGATGATAAATCAATACCTTGCCATCATTAGGAAGAGCAAGGGCAGTGGCAAGGAGAGAGTAACCTGTGTAAACACCAATTTCCATTATATTCTTGGCGTTGATAAGCTTGAGCATCATATTCAAAATACGTCCCTCGTCAACGGAAGTTGTCATAATGTTCCTATTTATTTATTAGTGAAACCATAAGGCATAAACCCCAAACTGAGAGGTGAAGGAAAAAGAATTAATTGCAACATGTAAATTTTTTAAGTAATGGGAATATAATATGTAATCTTCCCATGGATGCTTTGCTGTCAACTTGCGGAGCTCCTTCATGGATTCAAGCTTTCTTGGATACACACTAGTTTCAAATATGTACCGCATAAAATCAAGTTTTACAAAATGTGATGCAATCAACTAACGATTCCAATTAAGAATTATAAATTGTTATGCCTAAAAAATCAGGGCTAATGTAAGCCTACATCAGCTAGCTCCAATTAGAGTTCAAGAAGGCTTTGCGCCATCCAGGGATTGCCACATCACCCCAAGGCAGAGAGAATACAGTTGTCACTAACTTGGCAGATTTAGGTTTTGTCTATTAGTGAATGGGAGCCGCACACTTGTCCAAGCCCCAGGTGACTTGAGGAAATATCCTGAATGAGAGACAAGGAAAGGATTGCACAACACCTACCTACTTGCAGATTTGTAATCATTACCTTGAATTTCTTTACTATAAATAGAGGACTCATACCCTCATTTCTGGGATTCTGAGACAGAAAACCCACGCTTTGATTGTAACCTATATCTTCATAGCAAAGATAACATGCGAGAACGAGATCGACTTGATATTCTATCCGAATAATCAGTCGTTATACCTCTGCTCGCTATTCACTATCTGTGACCTCTTGTAATCTCTCATATATATAAAAGAATAGTGGACATAGGACTTATGTTAGACATCCAAACCCCTTTAAAAATCATCTTTTATGTATTATTCAATCTCTACATTAGATTATCATATTTATTAACGTGAAATTTCTCAGAGCTACTTAGCACATTGCACGTGCAAGTCGTTGGTGTCAAAATCAAGCATCAACATAAATAAAACCAGATTGATCATAAAGAAATTGTATTACTTGGTAAAGATTATCATTCTGTAGGAGACTCTTGTGGCCAGCTTCTTGGTGTCGACCAACTTAGGGTATTCCTGATGGGCAATTGCAACCATTCTTGTTATTATTATCCTTTTTAAAGGCTGTGTTTGGTTCCGACAATATTTTATTACCAAAAAGATAGGATTACTAGTGAGACAGATAACCTTGAAGATTAATGAGTATAATTTATTATTGTGTTTGGTTCGTGCGAGCTGTATAAATAACAAATGTCTTGGGTTGGAAGTAATTACAAAATACTTTGATATTATTTTACTAAAATGCCCTTTACAAGATTAGAGGGTTTAGGGTTTCATTTACTGAAATGCCATTTTGAGTTGTTTCTTGCTGGATTCCCCATTGGAATCGATAGGAATCAACCCCCTTGATCGTTTTTTAGCCATTTTTTGACTAGTTTTTCCTTGTATTTGGACGAATTTTCCCGTTTTCCGTCAACTAGCTCCATTCGTGATCTTTATTGATTTCAGCCCGATCTGGCCGAAATCTGATCCCGTTGGACCTATCGTCACCACCATCATCAACCCCACTTTTTCCTCTTCAAAACCCCTTTGCTCCCCATCATTTTGCTTCCATCAATTGCTAGCTCCGACCATTCTAGGGTTTCGTTGTTCTTTATCAAATTTTGGCCGATTTCGACAACAAAAACCCAATCGGCCACCACCATTGGAGCCACTGATTTCCAAATATTAAACCCCTCTGTACCCGTAGCCAGAGCACTCATCGTTCACCAGTCAAGTTCTCTCTTTGTGATTTTGGGCGTTTCTTTTGTGTTTTTAGAGGTTGTTTGATCTTTGGTTGGAAATTAAATTTTGGGGTTATGTTTTATTAATCTAAAATATAGAGATATTAATTAAATTGAGCAAATTATAGGGATTAATCTAAAATAATTACCTCTTTCAAGTCCCAACTTTAAACTAAATTCGTCAATAGAACATTTTTTACCTAAATAACTCTTTTGTAATTGTCTTCTCCGCTATCATTTTACTGAATTATCCAAAAATTTGCATAATAATAATCATAGGATTATACTATTTTCTATATGATTTTTATAGGATTTTCAGATACTTCTTATGAGTTTTGTGCCTGAATTGTTACTTAATTCTGCATATTTTATGTTTCAGGCCAAAACATGCAGTTGGAGCAAAACAAAGCAAAAATGAGTTTCTGGACTTGAAATCAAGTGAAATTCAGATGATCAAGGAAATTCGGATACTGATTAGAAGCACCCTTGGAGTTTGTTCCTATTGGAGATCAAGAAGATCGAAGATTCAAGTGAAGAAGCAAGCGAAGGGCAGTTCCATAAATTTAGCAAAGAAGATTAGAAGTTAACCGCGACAAGGTTTTCTCTTCATCGTGGCAAGCTAGCCTGATGGAATCACGGGTCAATTAAACTCAAGTCGATGCCGCAGTGAGTTTTTTCTTCACAGCGGCAAAAATTGCAATTTTAAGTTTTTTTTTTTAAACACTGCATTTTTCTTTTATAGTATTGAGTCCTAGGGTTTTTGGCTACTATTTAAGAAAAAGTTAGCTCATTTTGAGAGGAGGTCGACATTTTAGGAAATAAGGAGAGGAGAAGAAGATTGGAAGAGTTTGGGGCTCTATATTAGAGAATTTTTCTTTTCCCTTTCTTCTTTTATAATGTTGAACTCTGATTTTGTTATGTATTTGATGTTTATTTCCATTTTGAACATGAACTAACTCGTTTTTTAGTCTCATCATGCTCAACATTTATTTGATTCAAAAACCCAACAATCAAATGCATTAAGAATAAAGATAAACACTTATAGAGATAAACATCATAGATTGAGCGAAAACTAGAGATTGACAAACACAATCTATAAAATTTTTATAGGATTCCACATGCTTAAAGGACTTTGAACTATTGAATTTCAATTTGTTGGGTGTGGAATTTTAATAGGGATAAGTAGTGAATTATAACCTGACAAGGTATATTTCACAACCAAGAGAGTCCGATTTGTAATCCTTGCATGTGAATAATAGGATTATTAGGTTGAATTGGAGTAACTTGGTAAAATAGAAACCCTAACCTCTCCTCTTCAATTGAATTTCGTTGTTGAATTGCTTTGATTGTGTTAATTTTAGTTGTCTATTTTGTTTTGTTCTAATTTAGTTTCTCATAGCTCTTGCAAATCCAACATTTTTGTGTTCTTTAATTAGTTATAAAATTAGGAAAATCGGTACTTAGTACTCAATTCTCATGGGAACGATATTTTATTCATCACTTTATTACTTTTTGCGATTAGTGCACTTACTACATATACATGTTTGTGACATCGCGCATCACATAACATACCTGAGATGTGTGTAAAACCCACGGGCACACGACAAGTAATCATATAGTTTACCAAAAAAAAACTCTCTAACCTATAATAGTTTGATTGACTCCAAAATCCAAACTTCAATGGCACTCCAAAATACCCGTGCTTTCCAAACCAAATTTTCAACTCTTCTAATCAATTTTTCGTTTTTATTCAGGTTAACAATATAGAAACAACTAATTAATGTTGAAATTAATTGCTATAATTATTAATAATTTCAAACAGCTCAAAAATACTCATTTAGGCTGGATTATGTGCTTATTAATTAAGAGTATTAAACTCTTTACAACATTTAAATTAATTTGAATACGAGTAGTATTTGATGTAAAGTTGTAAACCATGTATATAAATTGATGTGAAAACTGATAAAAATATTATTATTCACATGTATTATCTATTTAATTTATGTAATTGACTTATTTTTAATTTTTATTTATCCAAACCCATGAGCCCATCACATGATGGCCTGTGCAATCAGCATAGACAACCCAAACGAATGAATTTTATTGACAATGTCTTAATAAACTTCACGGGATCACGTTTTTAACCCAAAAAATGGATTTGTCCTATATTCTAGCCACACTGATTACTGTAGAAAATATTTAATGCTCATGTTGACTATGGTGTATATTTTGTTTTCGACTTTTATATTTGTTAATTGAAAATATCCTTTAATGTTTCTGGATTAATAAATAGAGTAAACGACTTTTTCCGACCCAAGGTTTGCCTTAATAATTTTTTCCACCTAAAAAGTTTCAAAATACCACTTTCCTACCTAATATTTATATTCCATTAAACTCAAAATACACTTCACTTTCTTAACCGACATTTGACGAGTTACCAAGAGCCAAGATAATAGAGTTTTTGTAGAGTGAAGGTCGGTGGGTCGAATAATGGTTGACCGATTGAATATTCTCTGTCAAAATTAGCCGAAAATCATCTAAGAACATAAAACTCTAGCTTTACGGTGGCTGAAAATCGGTAAGAAATTAGGTGTCATAGTGAGAGAGTTTTTGTATAGAAGAGACCGAAGGTTCAAATGGTAGTGACGAAAAGAATTTTCATGGCCGGAATCGGCTTTGGGTAGTAACGAAATATAGACGTTGGGTAAGAAAATGATATTTTGAAACTTTTTAGGTGGGAAAATGCCATTAAGGCAAACCTTGGGTGGGAAAAAGTCATTTACTCTTAATAAATAGGACAAAACCATTAAAATTTATGGGTTGTGGTATGTATCAGATTTGGGTATAAGGAATTATGATAAAAGAAAGAGTAAACAACTTTTTTCCACCCAAGGTTTGCCTTAATGACACTTTCCCATTTAAAAAGTTTCAAAATATCAGTTTCTCACCCAATGTCCTTAATACCCAAAATACACTTCACTTTCTCAGCCAATGTTCGGCAAGTTATTAGGAGCCATAGTAAAAGGGTTTTTGTTGAGTGGAGGTCGATGGATCGAATGGTGGTGACTAATTGAATATTCTCCATCGAAATCAGCCGACAATCAACTAGAACAGAAAACCCTAACTTTATAATGGCCGGCAATCAACAAGAAATCAGGTGCCGGAGTGAGGGGGGTTTTTTAGAGAGAAGACTAGAGGTTCAAATGGTGGTGACGAAGAGAATTTTTGCTATTAGAATTTTCGACTTTGAATAGTAACAAAATATTATCATTTGGTCGGAAAGTGGTATTTTGAAACTTTTAGGGTGGGAAAGTGTCATTAAGGCAAACTTGGGTGGGAAAAGGTCGTTTACTCTAAGGTGTATTTGGTTCATGAAATGTTATATTAACGAAAAGATAGATTACCTTGAAGATTACTGAGAATGTTTAAGGAAATGTGTTTGATAGGTATGTTATATAGATTACTAAGTT